TTTATTATATTTATACGATAATCTAAACTGCATATTGTCACCCATATAACTTTTTGCTATATGCTATAGACATTTCTATGTTTTATCTCTAAATATTTGATGCATTGTTTTCTTAAAATTTATTATCACAGAGGCAGTAGACTCATCATATATCTTTTAAAAAAATATATTTTATTGATTTTTTTACAGAGAGGAAGGGAGAGAGAGACAGAGAGTTAGAAACATCAATGAGAGAGAAACATTGATCAGCTGCCTCCGCAACCCAGGCACATGCCCCCAACTGGAATCGAACCTGGGACCCTTCAGTCCACAGGCCGATGCTCTATCCACTGAGCCAAACCGGTTTCGGCCATATATCTTATTTTTTAAAATAGTCAACAGATACTCAAACAGCCAACACTCCCATTGAGTGCCTTGTCTAGGAAAGGGAAGCATGGAGGAGATTTTCCTTGTCCTGCAGGAACTTCAATCCAAAGCAGACGATGAACATGTCAACAGTTCATGATGGGGGCCAGGTGCTATTCCATAGGTGTAGCTTCCTATGGGTACATGGAACCCAGATGTGAGACAAGAGGATTTAACACAATAAATGGAAACCCATCCAGATTACTCAGGCAAAAATCTTCATTTCATGAGCACTCTCATTATTCACTTTGAAAACACTGTGTAAATTAGGTCGTTGAAAGAAAGGATTCAATAGTTCTTCCAAGGCATTTTCTTTTTCTTTTTAAAAAATATATTTTTATAGATTTCAGAGAGGAAGGGAGAGGGAGAGAGAGGAAGAAACATCAATGATGAGAGAAAATCAACACATCAATAAGGTTTCTCTCTCTCTGTGTCTCTCCCCCTCCCTTCCACTCTCTCTAAAAATCAAGGGAAAAAATATCCGCAGGTGAGGATTAACACACACACACACACACACAAAACCTCCTCCAAACCCGCTACTGGGGGTTGAACCCACAACCCGGGCATGTGCCCTGACTAGGAATCGAACTGTGACCTCCTGGTTCATAGATGGACGCTCAACCACTGGGCAACACTAGCTGGGCCCAAGGCATTTTCTTCTTGCACATGCTTTTTGGGGAAAATTTGAATGTAGCTAAAAAATATGTATTCTGTTACCTCTTACAGAAAACTAAGGTCAGATTCCCTCAGTCATGTTTATAGCTAAAATAACATTGTTATATAGAGAGAACAACTGACCAATGAAAGCCAATAAAAATAATAGACTGGAATTGGTTATGCAGAGGACAAAATGCCTGATGTGAACTGTACTGACCTGTGATTAACCACAGGAGACAACTATAGAACCAGATGTTCAAACGACCAAAGGCACTTATTTAGTCTGACTCATTGTAACTCTGAACAATCGTCCAAGGAGAGAGATCAGTTTAGGACCTCCATATTCACATGAAGTCTCAGTCCACGCTAACAAATGTGTATGGTTGTGAGTTCTTGACTCCAACTACATACCCTGATGTGCATACTTCTGAAGGGGAGTTTTAAGGAGTCCAGCAGATCGTTCTCCCAAGTTACCAAAAAATAAATTGGCACCCACATCTCCTCATAGCCTGTGTGTGTGTGCGTGTGCGTGTGTGTATGTGCGTGTGTGTATGTGTGTGTGGTGTTAATCCTCACCCGAGGATATTTTTCCATTGATTTTTAGAGAGAGTCGAAGGGAAGGGGAGAGACAGAGAGAGAGAAACATGATTGATGTGTTGGCTATGCCCTTGACCGGAATGGAACCAGGGACCTTTCAGTCCGCAGGCCAACACTCTATCCACTGAGTCAAACTGGCTAGGGCTCCTCATAGATTTTTATTTTATTGTCTCTTTGATTTCCACAACAGAAATGCCCATACTATTCGAGTGGCACACACCATACACCCCTCTCCACTCACTGAGGACTCCACTTGTTTATGTAAACAGTTTCCCCTCTTCTCTGAAAGAATAGGTGCTTAATGAAGATTTGAGTAAATAAATTATGAGTTCATTAATTAATACTCTTCTGTACTGGAAGGGTGGGTTACACAGATACCATCAAATTCCTTATTTGTGACACTGTCATCTTCTATTTAGGTGCAATGGATGATTTTAAAGTCGCTTTGTTAATCAATGTCAGTGGGGTAGCACAACCAAATAAGGAGCATGGGAATTCAGTCGTGGCATTTACCCCTTTAAAATCTTCCCTATGTGCTCACTGACATTTCTTACATTAAGCCATATTCTTCCAGCGTCACTGTAGTCCTGTTTAACAAGTTTGGGTTTCAGGACAATAAATATTTTTCCTGGTCTGAGCAGCCCAATGCTGAAGCACCTAATTTCTGCTCAGAGGGTAACTTGTTTGGAAACTCACCTTCTGTGTTTTTCCTGAAACAACTCAGCCAGGTTTCATTCTGTAATTTATCTTATCACCAACTGGTTGCACTCTCCTCTTCCTAATGTATGTATTCCTATGCATTACATTGCAAAATGCCCTTGTAAGAGGCTTATCACTGAGATATTTACAGGGACAGCAATGCAAATGTATCTTTAGTATTAGACTAAAAGGCTTTTCATCATTCCAGAAGTTTCCAGGATAATATTCTTCCAAACAGCAGTAATGAAAAGGACACGTTCACACGGTGTATACCATTTAGAAAATGTGAGAATTTCCTGGAGCTGGCAAAATAACGAATGCCTCGAGGAACTCTGCATCATTGCTTGACGTTGAAATTTGTGTGTATTATATAATTTTTAATGAATTCGTTTTCATAGTGTATTTGCTTTGGGCATGTTTAAATGTTGTGCAGTCCTAGATTTGTACTTTGTGGGCTTACGTTTGTTAATGGCACCTGTGATGAAGGAGTACCTAATTGTTATTTCTTTGTTGACATCAGTGGGTTCATCTGAAGGGAAGATCAAGTTCAGTAAACTACAAAGTGGTTCTCAGAATGTACTTCAGTGATAGGTCAGAACATCCACTTTTTATCTGTTCCTTTCTATCATAAAGTATTAAAACACAAAGCAGACAGACAAATAGCTCTAGAATAAAGTGGAAGCGTTTCTGTTTCATGCGGATGCATTTAGCCTTTGGGGACTGAGTTGTTTCAGTGCATCGAATAGTAAATATCGAAGGCAACCATTCCCAGAGTTTAGTCCCCAAACCATCAGCACCTGTATCATCTGAAAACTTGATAGAAATGTACCTCCTCAGTTCTCATCACAGACTTCCAGTCAGCAACCTGTGCTTTAGCAGGCCCTCTAGGCGGTTCTGATGCCAACGAAAGCTTGTGAACCACTGCTCTGACACTGCTATTCAAAGTGTGGCCCATGGGGCAGCAGGCATACCCGGACCCCTATGAGCAATGTCGAACCTGAGGGTGCCAGAGTCAGGACCTACATAGTAACACGATGCCCAGGTGGTCCAGGGGATCGGAGAGCCACCAATCTAAGGTTTACAGCAGGAAAGTCACCTGTGTGAGAGTGTCCTCTACTCAGAGGCATTTTGGAGGTTGTCAAAGTGGAACTCAATGGATACTTTACTGATTTTATATTCGTCTTAGTTCTCTCTGAAATTTCAAACAAAAGATGGGGGAAAGAGATGTGTAAATCTCTTGGCTGCAATATTAAAAAATATTTGAAGGCACACTGTCTAGATTATGAGACGGAGAGTAGAGCCATTATCTGGGTAGCAGAGCTATTACCTGGGTAATAAATCATGTATCTATATGTATATGGTATATATATTCCATAATCCCACATATAGATCATACATATCACACAATGATCTAGACCCGTGGTCGGCAAACTTCGGCTCGCGAGCCACATGTGGCTCTTTGGCCCCTTGAGTGTGTCTCTTCCGAAACCTTAGGAGTACCCTAATTAAGTTAATAACAATGTACCTACCTATATAGTTTACGTTTAAAACATTTGGCTCTCAAAAGAAATTTCAATCATTGTACTGTTGATATTTGGCTCTGTTGACTAATGAGTTTGCCGACCACTGATTCTAGACATTAGGTGAAAGCATAGTTTCTAAGTCGAATTTTTTTCAAAAACTCAGTTTCCTAATTCACTCTGCATATACAAATAAATCCAAGATATGTTTTGTGTCTTTTCAACATGAGATTATTTTCTACCTCTGACTTTAATTTTCTGTAGTTAATCTTTGTAGAAAAGTCTTTGTAACCAGTGACGCAAGTTGCAGATTTTCCAGGCTCTGTCTTAGACAGGGTAATGGTTATGATGCTGAGGAATTAGTGAAACAAAGCATGCTGTGGAGGCAATGCTGAAGTTTGCTTCGTCCTCAGCATTTGGCGTTTTACGTTTGCTAGTGGTGAATCCAGTGGAGGAAAAGAAGAGTTGACCAAGTAAGGTCTGATTTGCAAAAATATTTTTAGCCTGGAAACACAGGAGAATTAAAGGATTAAAAAAATCCTTTTGAAATTTTTGCACAACACCCCCCCCCCAAACCCCCCATGTAAATAGGACTGTCACTCGGTGTTTGTCCACAGCGAGAACTCCAGATGAACCAGTGTAGTGTGCGATGACAGGAACAGCTGACTCATTAGCAGAGAGCAGAGAAAGGTAATTAACCCTGGGAAAAGTACAGCTGCCATGCGGGCTGTTCCTTTCTGTAGGATCTGATTAGAAATTAGTGTTAAACCACTGATTCTTTTTTTTTTTTTTTTAAAGACTGTCATTGATAATTTTCACTTCCACTCTCAGGTGTGTCCCTAGAAAAAGGTTCTCAGATGTACTTATATACAATAGGGCTCAAATTTAAAAAGCATTTCCTGATAACAGTAGACACTTCTTTTGCTTGTTGGGGGAGAATTCTTTCAAAGGAATATTTTGTTTGACTATTGAAGATTCATGTATACCCCAACCCATACATGAATAGTCGGTTTGTAAATTACTTGAAAGGATTGTTTTATATAGTCAATAAGCTGTACCTAATTACCACTTAATTAAGTTTTTTCTTTTTTTCATTTTTCCTCTGATGATGCTTCTCATCAGTAGCAATGGAAACTCTTCAGTTCAAATCCAATGGGTGTGAGTGAAGGTAAGTGAAGGCTATTTAAAACTAAAGTTTTCCCCCAAAGAAAAGTAATCCCTAACTTTCAATGCCCTTCACAAACTTGAAACATTAAGGAACTTGTGTTTAGGGGACAACCAAAAATCTTTGACTTTATGACTGTTTGTATCATCATGGTAATTTGAGTTACATTCTTACATTTTTGAGGAGTGTGTACATCTGTTCCTCTTAATTTATGACTTCACATGTCTCATATAAGGAGCATTAATACTTTAACACAGTCATTATTCACATATGTAGCTAAGGAATGTGGTAGACAGAATAATGCCTCCCCCTCCCCCCAAAGGTCTATGTCTTAATTCCTGAAACCTGTGAACAGGTTACCTCACCAGGCAGTGTGATTAAATTAAGAACATTGAGCTGGAGAGATTACCCTGGATTAGCCAGGTAGGCCCAACTAATCACACGGTTCTCAAGAAAAAGGCAGAAGAATGGGTCAGAGAGATGCCAACTTGAGAAGAACTCAACTCACCAATTGTGGCATTGAAGATGGAGACAGGGAGCTATGAATCAAGGAATGCAGAGACCTCTAGCACCTAAAAATAGCTCTTAGAGTACCACCAGCAAGAAAATAGGGACCTCAGTCCCAGAATAGGAAGAAACTGGAGGCTGCCAGCAGCCCAGATGAGCGAGGAAATGAGTTCTCCCCTGTGGTCTCCAGAAGAGCTGGAGCCCGACTTTAAAATTTAACCTGGTGAGACCGTGCCAGACTTTGGACTTCCACAGCTGTACCATAACATATTAGTGTTGTTTTAAGCCTTTACGTTGGTGAAGATGTATTACAACAACAAAAGAAAACTCATGGAAGAGTAAGAAGCCAGCCAATAGATGGGATGTATTTTGCCACTGGCCACATATATTCTATGAAGAGTCCCCAGTGTTTGAGTGAAGAGGAGAAACGTTGCTTGAGAGCCCAAGACAGAGTCTTCAGGAATTAGTTGGAAGGTTCGCTTTGTAGATGCTCATGGTGATTGTCACCAGCTCTGGGTTTTCTGTCTGCTGCTTTGCTCTGCCCCTTCCCACATCGAAAATAATTCTCCACGTGACATTTGTGTGAACACAGTGCCTATCATCACTGATTCTAATGAGCACACGCTTTGTTGGAGCATCTAGCCACCTGTGGGGACAGTGGGTAAGGCAGTGAGCTCACTCTGTCCCCTCTCTTCATATGGGAAATTGATAGTACCCTCCCCACAGGCAGGCCATTCGGACTAAGGAAAAAGTGCATGTAAATACTTACGAAATGCTTCTTGTTAAGAGTTTAGTCAAGGTGAGCTATAGTTAGTTAGAAAATACTGTCATTTACTATTTTGAGCAAAATAATAGATTATTTTTGTCTTTCCTCATGATTAATGCTACTTTACCTCCAGTATCAATGTCATTAGTTTGAAATAAAATGTAAGTGCATAGTCGTCAGGACATTCTGACACAGTATGAGTAGGAAAAGTGAGATATAAAAACTGGGAACTGGGTACAGGTTGAGTGAGTTGGAGATCTTTTAGATGATTTTCTTGCCCAGTTGGGAAAAAGAAGGCTATATTTTGATTTTTCCTTTGGCTTTTATTCTCACAAAAGAACCAAATCAAATCATAAACTGTGCTTTTTATTTGAATTAAGTAATAGTAGACATTGGGTAAAAGCTGACCATGAAGTGGTCATGTTTGCTCTTTGCATTTGGAGCTGACATCTTCAACATAAGGGGAGACAAAAAGGCAAATTCTCTTTGGCTGGCAGAGAAGTAAAACAGACTAAATCTATAGACTCCTAGATGCTGTGTCCCTGGGATGTTTTGTACTGAAGTACAATGAATAAAATATCTCAGGCATCTGAGGGGGGTTAGTTTTTGTTTGCTTCCATTCAATTCACCTACTCTGGTTCCAACATTATGTTGCAGTAAAAGGTCAACAGGTCATAGCCTCTCACTTCCATGAGCTTATTCTGGGCACAGAGAAAAGTTTTTTAAGTGGACATGAGTGGGTATAGAATCAGGCCCAGCATAATAATCAAGATGAAGGTGCCATCCCAACACTTTTGGGACACGGAATTTCTGTGAAATACTGTCACTTGGACCACAACATGAGCGATAAATCACTTTTCAGCAGATAGATTTTGCGGTTCTGACTCTGAAGGGGAAAGTTTCTTTGAAAGTGACAAATGAAATCGATAAGTTCTAAACATTTAATTGTAGACATTTCATTTTACCATCTACTCTCCTTTGACCCTTTTGCAACTCTCTGGCTTAATACGTTGTGTAACGGAGCCAAGCACAGTGTGGACTCTGTATCTTTCCGATTGGTCTCGGGGGACATTTATTTATTTTAGTTAAAGTTCTCTGAATCTCTCTAGGGGGGATTCTTCAGTAATCATCATTTCCTGGAAGCTTTTCCAGTCTGGCCTAAGCCTGCACTTCCATTTCTCCCTCTGCCTCTCTCCGTGGTCACACTTCCCACTTATTGGAACCATCAATTTGCTGGTCTGTCCTTGTGAGGACAAGAGTTGAGGTTTACGTATCTTTTAATGCCCACTGTCTAGCATAGAGCCACCTATGCTAGACAAATGTGTACTGAGCCAATAGTTAAACTTTTTTTTAGGAAAAAGGTACTTGTATTAAAATAATGCACATTAAGTTAAACACTGGAGTGAGATTAAAATGCTGCAAGAATCCAGTGCCCATTGCCCTCAACAACTGAGAATCATGTCATTTTCGTTGTAAATTTCAGTAGGCTCTCCCATTCCACATTTCCTAGTCAGATAATGAAGATAAATGACTTTATGAAGATTATTTTTGATCTTAATGAAAAACAAACAGCTTTGGGGAAAACAGCAGACTTGTTGAAAAAATATTCTAAAATATCTCATAAAACGGATAAAGGAAAATAGAAAGTATTTAAGATTATAAAGCATGTTGTGTAACAATCTATATAACAAAATAGCTTAAAAAGAGAAAATTCCCTTTACATAATATAAAGCCTCATTTTTGAAGCAACAAGTGCTCTTTGAACATTATTCAAAATGTTTTGACATTACACGCATGTGTAGTATAGATTTACTCAAAATAGGACATTTAATGGCAACAAAAGCCTGGAAGGTAAGTGCTTAGTTTAATAGAACGGAGTTTCCATAGTTACCATAAAGAACATAGGATAACTTTTATTTCTTTGGGAGCCAGGAAGTAGCTTTAGTTAAATAATTAAACAAACAGAACCAAGCAGGTTCATTATGTATACAGCCCCACACCTGGTTGGCTTTTTAGAAGAAGGAACTCTTGATATTACCGGAAATGAAAGTTTTTCTCCCACTGAAATCTAGAGCGGCACCTTAAGAAATCTGAGCAGTCTTTCCTCTGGGCGTTTCAAGCTGGATTCTGAGTCAGAGGGAGAGCCAGTTTAATGCGATTATCTCCATGAGATGCATTTTTGCTCAGTGTTTCGTTAACAAACCACGTCAGGAACAGGTAGTAAAGAGCGCTGCCCAAAGACAGCGGTGCCTCGCGCTCCATGGCGAAGCAAGCAGCCGCAGGTCCGACTTCATTGCTCTTGGCCAACGTTGTGTTGACAGTCCCGCGGGAAGGGAGGTGGACATCCATGGCCGGTGGAGGTCTCTCCTGGTGCCAGCTCGGTTCTTCCTGGGGGTGGCGTGGCGACACGCTCTCTGAGTGTTGGTGGAGGTCACTTTCAGCCTCCCTTCTCGCTGAGCCTCATCCAAGAAGCTCTTCCCAGTTGACGGTGGAGAAACAAACTGATGCGGTTCCCCGCACCTCACCTTCGCGCCCCAGCCTTGAAGGCAGCAGTGATTAACAGGACTTTTACAAAGTTCCTGTGTAGTGACAAGGACAGTCTCACTCTTCTGTCATTTTTTTGCATTAGCTATGATGATGCTTTTACCACAAAAATGCATTTGTTTTAAAGGTAACAATGCAGACTAGGGGAATAGCTTATGTTTCATCTACATTTATCAGCACTCACTGTACATTTGTGTCTTCATTACCAGGAAATATTAAGGGACATTGTGCCATCTATTCCTGTTTACAGTTTATTATGCAGAGATAGGAAACACTTAGCATGTAAAATGAATGTAGAAATTATTCCTGGATAGAAACACGGACATTTCCCACTCGTTGGCTCTTTCTCCTCCATCACCGGATCAGAGTGTAATTGTCAGTAATCAGGCCTGCTTGCTGCTGATAAAGCCACTCTGAATGCTAGCAGCCTTCTTTGTGTGATGACTCAATTATTCCAGAAGTGCCTCATCAAATCTGCCCCATCAGCTGGGCTAATAAATAAGGAGAAGAAACTGGCCCCCCAAAGCAAATTATAAATCCATTTGCATTAACCATTTCACTGGTCCATGATCTAGGCAGAAATAAGCATGGCCGATTGTGCTAAGCTTATTTGAATATGTTTATAATGTTTACAGCATGCAACTTTCCCCACCACAAGGTGTTGGAATTATCAGTCATGAACGGCATCTAAATGCAGTTATGTTAATCGCAGCGAGGCTGGAGGTATCTTTGAGGCTGTTTTGTTCCTTAAATCAGGTGAAAGTCAAATCCTCTTGCCCCGAGGAATACAGGTCTTGCACAAGTTATTGGTGTTGCCTCCGAGTTTAGGGAGAAGAGGCCTGTGTTCTCGTTTTACAGGGGCTGGAAGGACAAATACAAATACTCTAAACCTGCTAGGACAAGAACAATTACTTCATAGACAGTGCGGCGGAACGGGAGTTGTTCTGATGCTCGGGTGTTCCGTATGACTTCCGCAATTTGCAAAACAAAAATTGCGTTTTCCTGGGAGAGCAGCGTTGCCTTAGCACTCCTTGTGCTTAGAACTTCTTGAAAAAAGACTGCAGGGCAGAGAATTTCATACACCTGGGCAAACCAGTAAAAACCGATGAAATCCACCCGTGGAAAGTTTGTTCAGGGATCAATTTTAGTTTTTGTTCTTTTCAGAGGACAAACTATACTGAATAACAAGAAGTTTTATTTACATTTGAACTTCAGTGGCCACTTGGGGAAGCCAAAAAATGCTCACAATGGATCGTGAAAAGCAACCAGATTGCTAATATCGAAGACATAATCTGGTTGACTATGTAATGATTTAAAACCCAAACATCCTCCCTGAGAAGAAAGGGTACCACTGGCTCACCCTACATGCCAGCAGTTCTCCTGCGGAGCATTTCATGCTGAGGAAGCTCTTTTTCTGCTCCTACTGGGATCAGGGGCCTGATGATGAGCTGATGGTAAAAGGAAAGCTTGTGGCCCATCTCAGTGTTCTCCCCTCCTCTCCCCTCCCCTCCCCTCCCCTCCCCTTTTCTCCCCTCTTGCTTCTCTTCCCCTCTCTCTCCTCCCCTTCTCTCTCCTTCCCTCCACTCTCTCCTTTCTTTCCTTTTTGATTTCAGAGAGGAAGGGAGAGGGAGAGAGAGAGATAGAAACATCAATGATGAGAGAGAATCATTGATTGGCTGCCTCCTGCACGCCCCCTACTCGGGATTGAGCCCACAACTCCAGGCATGTGCCCTTGACCGAATCGAACCTGGAATCCTCAGTCCAAAGGCCAATGCTCTATCCACTGAGCAAAACCAGCTAGGGCCACAGTGTTTTTCTTTGCCTAAAGCAACTTACATGAAACTCACCACTTCTCTTCATCGGCTCCAGCCAATGCAGCATATGCTGGAATACCGACCTGGAGAGCTAAGTAGAACAACGTCATCTGTGAGGCATAAGCATCAAGTGGCAACAGGCTTACAGAATTTTTATGAATCAATTTCTAAATGTCTCTTGCTATAATGGGGGAAAAAAAACACAATTCTACAGCTCATTGATCAGAAACTCTGAAGTAAGGGGCTTACATGTTCATGGGAAATTTAATACAGCAAAACGGGAAATGGAAAACCGAAGAACTTGATTGTCCGGGCAAAGATATCATTAAAGTTTATACGAAGTTGAACTCTAACTTAAAATATCATATTGATTAATATAAAAATAAACCTGGACACTTAGAGCTGCAAAGGACTTGCTTTGCCATTCACAAATATAAACACGTGAGGAGAACCCCTCCCCCGCCCTCCGTCATTCCAAATAATGAACAATTGGTGGAGATGTGAAGGTTAAAAGAGTGATTAAGAGACTGGAACTATTAGAAGTTGTGGAGGCGGGGCCTCCGGAGGTAGCCATGCGAAGGTAAACATGCTGGCATGCTCCTGCTTTTATTTTACTTCTTAAGGCACTAATTCTGGCCGGGTGTGGTCTTTGGAGCTTGTATTCACTTTCCGAATTTCCTGGGGGCCCTGCTGTGCCTTTGCAGCCGGACTGAAGTAGACCAGCAAATCCCAGGAACCAGTGAGTGCTTGTGGTGAGCTCATCTTAGTTACGTTTCAGGGCTACAAGTGCTACACGCATTTCACATTACATTTATTGGTCTTCGCATCCAATTTTTTACTTTGAGTCTAGTTGGAGGATTTTTAAAAAAATGCTGCAGTATTTTTTTTTCCTGTTTTTGTTTTGTTTTGTTTTTTTTGTTTGGGAAGGCAGGTAAATCTATGATTCTCTGCTTTAAGGATACAACTGACACATACATCATCTCACTTTAGGTCATTCACCGCCCCCCAATCAAATATAATCTGATATGCCTTTTTTTTTCTTTTAGCAACACAGCAGATTCATTACATGGTATCATAGGTTTAAAAAGCTTTTTCAGAAGCAGGGACTCACCCAGGAAGCAGCTGTGAAGAACTGAGTCCCTAATTATTGGCATATAGTAAAGCCGACAAATGGAGTACTTTGTGATGACTCCATTAAACAAGGAGAGCCATGCCTTTGTTTTGTTAATCCTCCCGAGGGTATTTTTTTTCTATTAATTTTTAGAGCGAGTTGAAGGGAGGGAGGGAGGGAGGAAGAGAGAGAGAGGGGGAGAGAGAGAAACATTGATGTGTGAGAGATGCATGGATTGGTTGCCTCCCGCACCCAACCCTGACCAGGGCTAGGGATCAAACCTGCAACTCAGGTACGTGCCCTTGACGGGGAGTTGAACCTGAGATCCTTCGGTTCATGGGGCAAGACCCTAACCACTGAGAAACACTGCCCAGGGCTGTAGAGACATGCCTTAATTAGAGTGCACACTTAAAGATTTTGTAGCCCATTAGATTACCAACACCTTAGTTGCCATGCAGTTTTATCTCTTACGATTGCTGTTTTATAAAAATACGAGCTTCAATGTGTAGCTAGAACTAACTCTGCTGCCCGGTGTGGGAGCTTGGTCAAGATCCCAAGTCTTGACCAGCTTAACTGCCTTCCAAAGTGAGTATTTCCCATAAATATTTTAGTAAGACCTTAGGTGCTATAAAATGGTTTAAGATGAGCAAAGGAGATTAAAGTGTGGCAATTAATAAAAATGGGGCTTTAAAGGGATTGCCTTTAAAGTATTATAATGACAGGGCCCATGCAGGGGATGGAGGGAACCGATTTCAGCGGCATCAGCCAAGGGGGTGGGTGGCGTTAGTGCTGATGGACACAGGAAATGAGGGGCCTCTGAAGGGCTTGCACTTTCCATATGTATTTTGTGTAGTTGGGCCTTTCGAGCCTGTGTGTGTCAGATCACGTTTCTAAAGTCGCGTTTGGTCCCAGCCCTCTGCCCACTTCCCCAAGTCGATCTCAGCTGTGCAGCCTTCACTCTGGTCCCCGGGGAGGGGAGAGACAGCAGATGGGGTTAGGGCAGAGGCCCGGTGCGTCTGACAGCAAACGGCCGGCTTGTAGGGTGGAAGCTGCAAGCATCAGGAAGCTGCTTTTCCCCTGGGAACCAACTAACCACTGAAGAAAGTTGAAAATGAGCCCTCGGAGAAACGCTATTAAAAGTAGTAAAAAAAATGGCAATTGTGCAGATGATATGCTGCTGTGTGCTTATTCGGATGCTAATGACTTTGACATTAGGGAACTCGGAGGGTTTACAGCTACTCCCTTATGCGATTCCGTTCTTTATTGGCAATCTTTGAGAAAATAAATGGAAAATGTATTGCTAATAAATACATACCACGATAGGGCATCAGACAGAAAGCCATTACTCTCAGGATTTAGAAGGAGCGTTGTGACTGTTTTCCAGGATCTTTTGTTTTAGGCTCGAGTCTGGCAGACAAAGGGGAATGGGCAGGTGGGAAGCTTCAGAACTCCTTCTGAACCGAGGGCGAAGCAGAATAAGCCAAACGCATTTTCAGAGAAGGTCTTTTTATGTATTTTTGGCTGCCATCGACCACAAACTAAGAATTCCCCAACTCCCATGCGACTTTTCAATGCTTTCATCCTGGCAGTGGTCTACTCTAGCACTTGAGAGAGTTTCATCCCTCTTCTCCCAGGAGCCACAGTTGCTGACTGGCGTTGAAGAAGCATCTGCTTAATGTGTGGTCAAACCTTGCAAGTCACCGAGAAATCTATGGTTCAGAAGCCGGTTACTTCCATCCATTGCCAAGGGTAAAACACAGGACGAGACGCGGGAAATTGGCAAGGAAGGTTGGTGGTGTGTGTGTTACAATCCCAGAACTGCCAGAGAGAAGACATGTAAGGTCTGGGTGATATACGTGATGTTTGTATGGACAGCCCCTCTCACCTGCTGAGTGTACTGCCCCGAATTTCAGAGTTTTCTCTCAAGGGCCACACGGTGTGCTCGCAGACAGATTCTGTTCTTATCCCCGAGACCAAGTAGAAGTGATACGGCTCCGTGCGTTCTGTCTGATCGCAAAGTAAACCAAGGGCAAGTTGCTTCCTGGGAAACAGGTTCACACAGCGGCAAGAAGAATCAGTTGCGTTTTATGACAGCCTCGCCCAAGAGAGCCCTGGATCCCAACAGGCCGCATTTCCATCTGTCTTCTGTGACTTGAGTGTAGCACACCCCAAAGCTTGTCGGAACCCTCTCTTTTTGTGGTTAGAAGTAAAATAACAGTGCTAACAGAGTCTTTCTTACCCACTTTCCCTGGGCTTGAGTGTAGCACACCCCAAAGCTTGTCGGAACGCTCTCTTTTGGTGGTTAGAAGTAAAATAGCAGTGCTAAAGGGAGTCTTTCTTACCCACTTTCCCTGGTAAATTGAAGACATAATTTGTATATAGTTTGGTAATAAAGACGAAAAAGGAATTTCGCTTACCTTTGAAAAAGTAAACATGTTTTTACACTGATATATAGTATACATTTTTTATAGTATTAGGCCAGTGGTCGGCAAACTGCGGCTCGCGAGCCACGTGCGGCTCTTTGGCCCCTTGAGTGTGGCTCTTCCTAAGTCTTAGGAATACCCTAATTAAGTTAATAACAATGTACCTACCTATATAGTTTAAGTTTAAAAAATTTGGTTTCCAAAAGAAATTTCAATCGTACTGTTGATATTTGGCTCTGTTGACTAATGAGTTTGCCGACCACTGGTCTAGTCCAACTGAATGATAAGTAAAAGTGTCAGCACATCATTCATTGTTCACGTCAGTGTTTATTATTGATCTATTTAACTTGCCCTACCTGATAGACTTCCCTTCTTTCGTCTTAATAGAATGAATCTTAGGATTTCTCACTGAAGCGGGCAGAGACATTCAGTCACTTGAACGAAGCAGGAGAAATCAAGTTGGCATACAAGTTACCCAGAGAAACAGAGAGGTAAGGCAACATTTTTATGAAAAAGTATCATCTAGTAAAAGAAAACGAATCCAATCAAAGCATGTATATAAAGACTCTCCTGGATAGCAGTGCTTTATCTCTGTGAATTTGCTTTGAAATTTTTTTTCTTAGTGCTGAATTTAGAAGTGTGATTTTTGTCAGAAACATGGTCACTTTGATAGTTAAAAACATCAAGCAGGTGAAGAAGTCCTCTGAGCCTAAAAATCTTTTACATGTTGATTGGGATGTGTTATTTGTCCACAGATTTGCCCTTAAAGAAAGGTTCAGTGTTAAAAAAAAGTTTTAAAAATTCAATTTAGATTCATTTTGATTAGAAAATGAGTACTTAAGGATTAAAAGTAAATAAGTGATATATTTTTAAATCATGTTTTAAACACTATAGGATGTGTAGAGTTAATTGCTCCAAACCCTGAAAAGTAAGGAATTGGGTTGTCCTTGGGAGAAAAATCTATTTAAAATAATTTATCCATATATGAAGGAACTTGTTTGCTAGCATTTACCTATTTTGCAACACATGCATCACAAAATATCAATAAGAAAAAAAAATCAAGGCCCTTTTAAGGTGTTACTAACTCTGAGTTCTTTTTAAAGAGGGCCCACTAAGAAAATACACTGAAAAAAAAGTGACTCCTAAAACATAAAGCCCGCAATTACCCTCTTATGTGACAAACTTGTGACTCAGAGGCCACTACAGCAACTAATAGAAAACCTTGGCACTCGTTGGCTACCTAAGGGAATAATAGGACTATTTGCTGGAGTCGTTTGGCAAAAGGACACAAACATATGGCTTTGGTTTATGTGCAGCACTGCCAGTTGTGCAAAGTTGCAGGATGAAGTCTACAACAGCAGTGACGACTCAGAAACGAGAAGTGAGACTAAAATAGATCAGCCTCCTTAGAATGCCCACCAGCTGGTCTCAGGTTTAAGGTTTCTTCAGTGCAGTGCATGCCCAAGTGGTTCTAGAAAATCACCTTGTCTCTGGGAAATGTGCATGCACTTGGCCCTGGTGAAGAGCTATTCCCAGAGAACCGTGCTGAATCTGGGAGCAGACCAGACCTGCTCCTTCCTTTCAGTATGGTGCTTGTTGGGCGTAAGAGGGGTTCGTGGAGACAAGGAGAGGTATCATAGATGTGAAGGGTAGACATTATGCAATTCCTTGGCTTTCTACAGAGTCAGACAGTGCAATAAGAGACAGATAGGAACAGAGAATTGAAATCAGGGTCATTGTGCCCTGAACAAAAGATTCAGGAAATATTTTATTTAGGATAAAGAATTCAGAAAAGATTTAAAAGGTTATATATATGTGTTGTCACAAATGATATAAAAACCCTGTTTTATTAGGTTAGACCAGCCGTGGGCAAACTACGGCCCGCGGGCCAGATCTGGCTCATTTCAAATGAATAAAACTAAAAAAAAAAAGACCATACCCTTTTATGTAATGATGTTTACTTTGAATTTATAGTGGTTCACACAAACACTCCATCCATGCTTTTGTTCCGGCCCTCCGGTCCAGTTTAAGAACCCATTGTGGCCCTCGAGTCAAAAAGTTTGCCCACCCCTGGGTTAGACTCTTGAATATTTATTTTCTGAATTGCTCTTCCTATTAATAAATGTATGAAAAAAAAACACCCAGAAAAGTAAGCAGAGGGTACAAACAGAGAAAAATATCCTTGAACATTCTGTCTTAGGGTAAGTCAACTATTCCTTTAGCATCACAACTCATTTCCTTCCATGTTGTCCTGTGTATCAGGGAAACAAACATCTTTTCCTGCCATTTTGGGCTGATCCAAAGCTGTGTTCAAACAAAACGGTGGCAGAATTACCCAAAGAAAGGGTGCTCACTGTAGGGTTCCTTGTTCTTCAGCCTCGCCAAGTTTTATTCCGAGGTACTGGCATCATCTAGTTGTTTCATTTTTCTTTTGTGGGGGGGGGGGGTTAGTTTTTTCCAACTTCCTGAGTCTCTGTCATTTAAAAAAATTGATCCTTCTAAAGGAAGTTAAAAGGGTTAAGGACTCCTCACTGAGAGGACCCTGGAACTTCCTCTCCCCACTGCAACGAGAGCTCCTGGACTGAGAGGACATCACACAGATGAACGTGACACAACATACAAAACTACATCATCAGTTCAAATATACGGGGAGAGGAACACAATACAATCTGGTTAAACATGGAAATGATTACAGGTTGAATGTATGTGAAGGACTTTTCAAATGTGAAGTAGCTTCCTGCATAAGACTATATATACCTAGACAGTATTATGATTAACTGTATAAGGATTTTGAGACAGTGTCCTTAAAACCGTATGATCACCATGGCTTTTTATATTAAGACTAGAGGCCTGGTGCACAGATTCGTGCACTGGTGGGGTCCCTTGGCCTGGCTTGTGGGGATCAGGCCGAAACCAGCTCTCCAACATCCCCTGAGGGGTCCTGGATTGCAAGAGGGCGTAGGCCAGGCCAAGGGACCCCACTGGTGCACGATCAGGGCCAGGGAGGGACTGTAGGAGGGCTCCAGGATGTGTCCAGCCCATCTTGCCCCGTACTGATCGGCCGGACCCCAGCAGCAAGCTAACCTACTGGTCGGAGAGTCTGCCCCTGGTGGTTAGTACGCACATAGCGACTGGTCGAACAGTCGAACGGTCGGACACTTAGCATATTAGGCTTTCATTATATAGGATTAAGAAACACAAGACTACTTATAAATGAGTAGTGAGGATGTCTGTGTCTAGAGTTCTGTTGAAGGAGACATAAAACTTAAACATGACCAAAAGATTTATTTTATATAGTTTTTAAGAAGTAAGTAAAGCATGGGAAATATACGAAATAATTCTGTGATAACTATGTAGGGTGCCAATTGGGGTCCTGGAAATATCCAGGGGAACACGATGTAAAGTATATGATTGTCTAACCACTAAGCTGTACACCTAAAACAAAAGCAGAATAAAATTGAAAGTAAATAAATAAACTGGAGAAGCAGAAAATTAAAAAATATATATACTTGAATATTTTTTACCATTAGGTTAAAATAGGATTATAAGTAGAAAATAAAATCAAACTAAATCTACTCACATACCAGTAATTTACTTGTGTGAATAAAAACAAAATTGAGTTTATGAATTATGTGTCCTGCTTCTTGAGCCTCTCTATCCCACAAAATGGTAATTTCAGGGCTCCCTCATCAGCACAAAGGAAGGTACCAGATCTGGACACTGGGGTGCTATGGACAGATCAGGTGATTGTCCCTGATGTAAGCACTAAGCCAGTGGTGGTGAACCTTTTGAGCTCGGCATTGTGAGCATTTTGAAAAACCCTAACTTAACTCTGGTGCCATGTCACATACAGAAATTTTTTGATCTTTGCAACCATAGTAAAACAAAGATTTATATTTTTGATATTTATTTTATATATTTAAATGCCATCTAACAAAGAAAAATCAACCAAAAAATGAGTTCGCGAGTCACCTCTGACACGCGTGTCATAGGTTCGCCATCACTGCACTAAGCACTAGTGAGAAAAGATGCTCAAGTACCAGTAACTAGAAAATGACTGTGTGCACCTGTATATAGGTTTATAAGTACCAAAGGTTGTTAAATGAGAACTTTCCAAATTCAACTAAGTAGTTACACTTTATTTTGTGGTCACTTTTCTTCTTCATTGCCTGTCTGCTAATTTCCATCGTTTGTTCTTGCATGTCCTTCCTCCAAGTTTTGCTTCTTTGCCTTCTTTATTTTATAATTCTTTCCCTCTTGTCATTTCTCCGTGCATTAACTCCTAGAGAACTGGGGAATAAAGTGTTCTTACAGATTTCTTCATGCCTTTATTAAGAATCAGATACCAAGCAATGACCACTTTTTTCTCCTTTCTATATAAAAATTTTATTATATAATATTATATTATATATTAAACATATCCACACTTATAAGTTAAATAAACTTTTTAAAAAGTAGTTTCAGATCAATAAAAATAAGAGTGGCAAAGGCAACCTTTAATATTATTACTCTTTTGAGAAGTAGACTGTAAAGGCAGGAGGAATCATAGGAATCTCAGAAAACGTCTTGTCTTGTTCCTGTATAAACCATGGAATGAGATAGATAAAGGCCCTAAGAAACTGAGAGAAGGACAGCGTTTTAGAAAAATCACATTTCTGTTTTGAAAAAAGCAGTGACTCATTAAATTTTATAAAATTAATTGCAGACTTGCCAATACCATTCAGGACTGAAGTAGTAAAAATGATCCAGTCTCCTTTGCCAATGAAAAACAACAGTGTTCCCAATGGGAAAAGTCGTTTTAAGGTTGCAGCCCATGTTATTTAGGTCAGTTCTTGATTCATACCATAATCGTATATCTCTTCTATAAATCTGAGAGGATTTGGAAGATGATGATCCTCACCTCACCCACCCAGGTCTCAACACATGCACTGAGGTACAAGTCTCTTTCTGCCTTTCACCAACCATTACCTGAATGAGGCACCCACTGAATAAGAGGTTTTATTTGACAAAAATTAAGGCTATTCATTGGCAATTTATTAAAGTTGCTGATAACAACTCAAATGAAGAACACTTAGAAATTTTTACTCCCATATTCAAGATTTTATTTTTTTAAAAAAAATATGTCTTTATTGATTTTTTTGGTGGACTTTTTTTCTCATATTCAAGATTTTAGAGAACAAAAACTTATTTTCAAACTAGAGGCCCGGTGCATGACATTCATGCACTGGGGCAGTTGGGGGGGGTCCCTCAGCCCAGCCTACGCCCTCTCACAGTCTGGGATCCCTGTGGGGTCTCTAGCTGCTGCTGCACTCGTCAGCCATGAGTCCGGCTTCTGGCTGAACAACGCTCCCCCTGTGGGAGCGCACTGACCACCAGGGGCAGCTCCTGCATTGAGTGTCTGCCCCCTGGTAGTCAGTGCTCATCATAGCCACCAGTTGTTCTGCTGTTTGGTCGATTTACATATTAGCCTTTTATTGAATAGGATTGAGATGTATGAGGAGAGCGAGCCATCTCATAAATGGTAAAAACTTCCACCCCCAGCCCCAAAGGAAAAGCACATGTGCTTTAGGTTTCTGATACTTTAACTCCCTGAAAAACTATAAGACAAGACTGGACACTGATTTTCATACTTTTATTATTCTTCAGGTGTGAGGGAGAGAAAGAAGGTGAAATAGATAGGTTGTATATTATGGCCTTGGTCCACTTTGTTCCTACAACTTGGCCCACAGGTTAAATCTGAAAACGTAGTTGTGTCAACGAGTATCAGCTTTTACAATATTTATGTAGGATATACATGCTACACCAACAAGAGGACGGTAGCTCCACAACATGCAATTATAAACCTGCATTCTAAGCCCAGTCAAGCAGAGGGCCATGTGTATTTACACATCCCTTCCAACGACCTTCATGGGGAGGTGGCTGCATGGGTTGATGAAAGAACAGTTAGATCCTTGGATAGCCAAATTGCAAATGGAAGTAGTCTTGCACTGACTGGTGTGGTCAGCGTGGTTCAGTGGTTAGAGCATCAGCATGCACACTGGAGGGTCATGGGTTTGATTCTTAGTCAAGGGCACATACCTGGGTTGTAGAATCATTCCCTGTCCCTGGTTGGGGTGTATGTAGGAGGCAACAAATAGATGTCTCTCTCTCCCCTCTCCTCTCTGTCCTGCTCCCCCCTCCCTTCCACTCTTTCTAAATATCAATGGGAAAAATATCCTCGCTCCTCAGATGAGGATTAAAAATAAATAAATAAACACATAGATAGATAGATAGATAGATAGATAGAACGAACTAGTCGTAAAGCTGTTATAAAGGTTACATTTAAGTAGATTTCAGAAACTCTTTAATTTGTGTCCACGGTACTCTTTGCCATCTATTGCTTCATTTTGGGAAAGAAACTCGTGGAGTTCAACCTTCACTTGCCTTTTGGGGAAATTTTTCAGTGGCTGGGGAGAGCTAATACCACCTGTGTGGCAGAATAGCGTTAGACCTGAGTTGAGTAGCTTCTTCAGAAGGAGTGGATGGTTTTCATCATTTTAACCCCCGTGCTCCATTCTCTCTTACTCTAGTTATTCGTTTAGCACATGGAGGGGAGTTTGCATGAGTTCAGCCACTTTATATGCAACAGAGACACTCACAGAGGAGGAGGATTTTACAACACAGTGCTCACCATCCTGAGTAAACCAAGCCATTGTAATCCTGGCCAGTCACATCTGTCATAAATCCATGTGTTTTTAAGAGGGGGGAAAATCTACAGAAAAAAAAACCCCACCTTTGTTTTATTGTTGTTTTGTCTTATTATGTAATTTAAAATATTCATAACAATGAACCATTTTATTTAGACGAAAGCAACTGCTGTTCAGCAAAAGCAGCGTGCACTTTTTGTTTGCTAATTTAAAAAAGCCGTTCAATGATCGGTGTGGTGTTTATTATGAAATGATGACAAAAGAGTGCTGGTGGTTTTAATAGTTTTAGCTGACGAGAGCTGCTGTTAATTTTGTCTGTAGTGTTGCAGGTGAAAAAATGCACAATGGATAAATAGTCTATATTGGTTTAACTGAACATAATATATAGTGTGTTCTGGAGTTGTTTGTCTCAATAGGCTATAGTAATCAAAAGTAATGAACCTATTATGTGCAGGACCTTGGAGAGCGTCACATGGCAGTAAAAGTGTGGCACATAAAAGGTTTATTAAAGGAAATTAAAGTCCATCATTGCCACACCTGCTCCCCTATTATAAGTCTATGGCAGGTCAGTGCCTTCAATCACAACTCAGCCTCGGAGAGCAGAGATGTGTCTCCCATTACCATCGCAGTCACAGGCTTCCACACTCCTGACAGGATTTAGGGGTGGGAGCCACACACAGCACCTTCTGCCCGTGTCTGACTTTCAACCAGCAAAGCAACTTCTTTCTATTTAAGAAACCTTTCTGCCAACGTGCAAAAGTGAATTAAGCTAAGAAATTATCAGGGGAGTCTACGGAAATGGATGAATGTACCCAGGTCAGAATTTATCTCCATGTGGACAAAAACAATAGGTTTTTAGAATGTTTGCATCCCTTTGAGAGTGCGTTTGATTATATTTAAAATATTGAGGGGTGGTGTTTTAGGATATTTACTGCCACACCCAACACTCAAATTTCACCTTCCTTATAGACTGGGATGATTATAACCAGTGTTTGTTCTGGAATTCTTAAAGTAAATGTATGCCATTTTTGCTAATCAACATTTCCAATGGTATTTTGAAATAGGGACATTTCAAAGGGTTGCCTCCATGTTGCTTTTTTACATGGGGAATCACTTTTTCTGGCAAGTGGTATGTATCAGAAAAGGTCTAGAAATGCAAAGAAATCAAGTTTTAGGAAATGAGTCTGAAGCCTTTCAGTTTGGCATTTGAGGTTTTGTCTCCTTTGCAACCCTGTTAATCAGACACTCCATTTTCTTTCTTTCTGTCCTTGTGATGCCAACAGTGTTTGAATCACTAGCAAACACTTATGGACAAGGACATCTGCCCTCTTGTCACTGTTTCCTGTGGGCCCAGCATCGATAGGAGTATTTCCAAAACGCAGGGAGTGCGAGGGAGTCACAGTTCTCTCCCTGCAGGGTCAGAATGCTATTCAAGAACATGGAAGTCTACTCTGTTTTTCATCACGACCTTAAGAACTTCTAGTGACATGTTTTCACATTTTGGTCACTGTCAAAGGAATAACCTCAGGACTTGTGCTCCTGTTACAGATGGACGCAGAGGCTGAGGATAAAACGCTGCGTACCCGCTCTAAAGGAACGAAGGGTGAGTTAGCAAGCAGGTCCCGGGACACCGTGCCCACCACACCATGAAATATGGGTGTTCTGGTGCCCAGTCCCTGCCGTGCAGAATGATGACAACCTCCTCAGGACTTCTCTTCCTCCTTCTAAATGGACAGCTCTTCTGTGCTCCCTGCCTCCTCTAGCTCTTATCCTCCCCTCCTCCTCCTCCTCTTCCTCCTCTTCTTCTTCTTCATCTTCTTTTTTTTTCCTTTTTTTTTTTTGGTAGATCAAATTAGAACATTGGGTCATGGTATTGAGAGGCAGAATATTCCGAACCAGGAGTTGAAGGACTCAGAAGAGCCCAAATGATATAGGAGGCTAATTTTTATGAAGTGCAATCATGAGTAGGCTCGAACATCTTGCAAAACAACATCAGGGTCAGCGAGGGAAGAATGCTTCATGGAGACCTTCACATTATTGATGTGACCTTTAATGGCCAAGGAAAAAGACCAAATTGCTCGTTTATTGCCAAAACGGGTTTTGATTTTTATGTTATCTGGCTTCGTGGCTCCCAATCTAAACTTAGTTTCAGTAAAATGATGATGTTTATTTTTTGACTGTCCCTGCTGGGAATTTCCGACAGCTCCACAAAGAAATGTGTGAGAGGTTTAACGTAATGGTTCTCCCTCCCTTTTTGTAACCAACAGATGGTGATGTAACATTGAAATAGAAATAGGCCCTTGATGATATCAACATCTGGAAAACAGGGTTGACGTGCAATAATACACCTTAAGGAAAATAACTTTTATTATAATTAGCTATATTTTGGGGGAACCTTAATTTTAAATGGACAACTGCAGGTTCACCATGGCGTCTGAAAACACTGTGGGTAGCTGTTCCCCACCCTGTTCTCTCACGGTCAGCCTTGCTGAGAAGGGCTGAGTCAGGCAGCAATGGGAAGATATTTTGGAAGCATTTTGGGATTTATCATTGAAAGTGGCTAATCCAATGGGAGGCTTTTGTTAGCTATGCTTACATATGTAGTTAAGGTCAGTAATTCCTGTTTGAGTAAAGTTCAGATTCCAAAATTTTAAATAAATTCCAGGATGATTATTTTTTAGTTAAAATGTAATTATGTTTATCATTAGTCATGGTAACCAAAATACAGAATGATGCTATATGCGATATGGGGCTTTACCTAAATAGAAATTTGACACTGTATTATTTTCCAGTTTTAGCTTTATGGTACCTTTAAAGTAATTGCATCATGTAGTCTAATATTTAGAATGCAGTATTTCTTTTTTTAAAAAATATATTTTATTGAGTTTTTACAGAGAGAAAGGGAGAGGGATAGAGAGTTAGAAACATCGATGAGAGAGAAACATCGATCAGCTGCTTCCTGCACACCTCCTACTGGGGATGTGCTCGCAACCCAGGTATATGCCCTTGACTGGAATCGAACCTGGGACCCTTCAGTCCACAGGCCGACGCTCTATCCACTGAGCCAAGCTGGTTAGGGCTAGAATGCAGTATTTCTAAACATTAAGTTTTTATGAAGTGCAATCATGAGTAGACTTGAACATCCCATAAAATATAAATTTAAGAAAAAGAGTTTGCATCATTATTTAGTATAATCTCAGGTCTGCCATAAATATCAGAGTCCTAGGGACTATATTTGGATTATTTGAATCTCTTGCTTAGACTCCTAAAAGCACACTACGCTAGCATACTTGGAAATTGTGGCTGTTTTAATTTGCAGTTTTTTTTTTACTTCAAATTCCTTTGGCACATACATATACGTTCTTAAATAGAGCCAAAATGTTCTTCGAGAAATGAGACAACTGTTTCTCGTGCAGCATGAGTAATCTTCCAAGCCACCTGTTGTCTCTCTCAGTATGCTGCTTATCCTTGTGTAGGCAGGTATTTATAAACATGGACTGCTTTAGTTCCCATCATCCCCGTAAGAAAAATCAAAGTTCTTTTTTTCTATAAATTGTTTATTTTGAAGGATGTTGATCTTTAATATGGCTGATGCTTATCCTCCTCTCTCTAAGTGTAAAATGTATGAAACGAGTCTTGGGACATGTTCTTTAGTAAATCTTTCGTCAGTTTTATTTATATACTTGTTTAATGTCAATTAAAATGTAAATAGGGGTGTGGTGGGTTTTTTTTTTTTTGGAAAAATTCTCCATAAACAATAAAATGGGTTAAATTGATTTTAAAAATAATTCAAGTCCTTCATGCCCCTGTGATTTTTGAATGTATTTCTAAAGACAAGTATTCAGAAAGTCCAACCCATGACATCAAGTTCCCAGGGTCACCCTAGGCACTAAACCTAGAGTCATCTGTCCTGGGCCATATTCATTTGTCCTCTTGTCTCTGAGGAACCAGAACCAGAAAAGATCAACCCACCAGTGGGAACTTACGTGGGGTCTAAACTAACCATTATTGATCATTATGTCTAGGTAGGTGAATAATTTCAGTTGTACAATTCTTGAAATTAGTAACTGATTTTTGTTTTCAACAGTGCCAATGAATTCTCTAATCCAGGAGCTCAGGTAAGGTTTGTCCTACATTACTTTTTCTAATATTGATTTGCTTTAATTATTAGAATGTTTTGTATTCAGAATCCCTGCTTTAGTATGGGGAATAAGCCAATGGGTTTATTTCACGTAGCCTCTGTCTATATGCCAAAGAAGGGAAAAAACTATTGATAGTTAACCTAAAACAATTCAAACTACTCTTGTGATAACTAAACCCACAGCACTTTGCTGTAATGTGAGTAATTTTCCACTTTTCTCCATAGAGTGTGTGCTGCCTCTGTGTACACACCTCACATGTGTTTTGTTTGTGCACTGATGGTAAGTGAAGAACTTGATTAATGGATAACCCAAGTCCTAAATTCTCTACTCTTTTTTTTTTTTAATACTCAGATAATTCTATCAGGTAACCACGTGACTTTTTCTAATGTGACTGATAGCTACTGGGGTGGGTCCAAGCATTTCCACCTTGTATATTGTAAATGCACCTCAGGTAATATTCTGAAAAGTCCACCTTAATAGGTTTTGCAGAATAAACTCTCATTAGATTTTTTTTTTAAAACAGTATTATTGTGAAGTATGGTGTGGTTTTTAAAAAGTACTTATTTATTTATTTTAAATATATTTTTTACTGATTTCAGAGAGCAAGGGAGAGGGAGAGAGATAGAAACATCAATGATGAGAGAGAATCATTGATCAGCTGCCTTCTGCAGGCCCCCTACTGGGGATGGAGCCCACAACCTGGGCAGGTGCCCTGACCGGGAATGGAACCGTGACCTCCTGGTTCATAGGTTGATGCTCAACCACTGAGCCTCACCGGCCAGGCTAGTGTCGTTTTTTAAAGTACATATTTGAAAATAAACACATACTGCCAATACGTTTTCTGTACTGGTGATATTTTGTAGTGAAATTGTGTCAGGAGCAAGATTAGAACCTTGTCTCTGCTCTAGGTTTACTGTTGCAATCCCAGAAAGTCCCAAACCCGCTAACTAACCCACTTTTGTGAAAACAACAGTGGTCTGTATGTGTTCCTCAGGGAAATGTTTGGAAACTGAAGGATATGTAACAGTGTCGGATCCACGTTGAAATTGGTCATGTGTGCATTGACAGTTCACATAGTTATTTTCCCAGGCAACTGTGCTCTGTGGTTTCCCGAAGCCAGGGCTGAGTTACTTCTGTGTCCCAGGATTCATTCTGTCAGCTTTGGTTCACCCATTTAAGGGGACACAAATCTATCAGAACCGAGTACAAGCATTCATGCTAATGCCCTTAGCTGTGGAAATATTTGAGTAGGGAACCCATGGCCCTGCCTCCATTATCAATGTTATCATTGAGAGTTTTACATGATAAACTACTTTTTATAAGAGCAAAACATATAGTATACCCCACATTGAGGCAGAATGAAAAGATTGAATTTTCTGGCTCACTTAAATGCTTGCTTTTAAAATCTGTTCTCCTTTAAAAGTCTTGTCTGTATGGAGACTTTATGTTCCCTGTAGAATGATCAAAAGGCGGTTACGTGATCAAAGGCTCAAAGTGGGTGAGATGTTTGCCATCACGGGGAACCGTTTCCTACTGGTCTGCCACAGAAACTGGGTGCCCACGAGCCCACGGTCTGCTCGCCTGTGGAAGTGGTTGTGTTTTCAGCCAGAGTCTTTTTTAGAGACTCCAACTATTCGGAGGGGAGGGGAGAGGCCTTTCGAGCGACGTGTCTTGTATGATAACATGAAAAAGAAAAGAGAATATTTAACAGATGAGTGTGTGCTTTGGCCAAGGAGAAATATGTAATTCATAGAGAAAAAGGAAGGAATTCATAGAGAGAAGCAACTTTGTGGGGGAAAACATGTTTAATAGAACTTTCTGGAGAAATAAAAATTACTATTTAAGTTACTTTATTAGCATTTGTTATAACAATAGAGCTAATATTTACTGTGACCTTATTGTATGCCAGACATTCTTGAGTGTTGTTTATCCTTTAATCCCCGCAACAACATTATAAGGAAAAAAATGATGAGAGTTCCAATTTTCAGATGAAAAAAGTGAAACTAAATAGCTTATGTAAATAGCCCAAGGTTTCATTCACCACTAGTTAGTAACCCAGACTTCTGACTCAGAGACGAGCTTCTCAACTCCAAGCCATGCTTTCTGACCTACACAATTAGCAGTACCTGCCTAGAATATATAAAAAAAAAATGATTCAGCTGGATTTTGAAATTCTATGCTTTAACCCTTATGGTGTGTCTCTCAGAGCTTAATTTTCTGGAATTCAAATAAAGAATATCTTTTAATTAAAAATAATAAAACAATAAAGTAATAAATTGTTCTAATTCCTTAAAAATTATTTTTATCAGATATTTAATTTTACCTAATTTGTCATTAGCCCAACTCAGAAAGCTGGTGATAATTGCTGATAACATTTAGAAACCAACTTAATTCACCTATTTTTCTTGAATAAGAACCGGTGTGTAAAAATTACTGATTACTGTTAATTTCATAATTGCTTGTTTTCAACAGAATGATCATGCCTGGGCTGAGTAGCTCCAAAGTTGCTGCTGAAATAGTTTAAATTGACCCCAGATATAGATCCTAGTGATCATTCTATGTAAATTCTTGAAAAAAAGTTCTAATTTACTTGCTAGGTTATATTTTTAGTGTCTTTTTAATTTTGTACAAGTTCATTGGCTACACTTGCTCCTCCAATTTTTTCCTCAGGTTTCTGGTGATCTAGAATCCAGAATTTGTTTTGCGTCTGAAATTTGAGCATCTTAGGCAATATAGCATATTTTTCTCAGTATGAGAGTTAAGGCTATTTTGTAGGGAATATTGGCAACTTTATTTAGTTTTCCTTTTTAGAATGCATTGAGCATGTTATTGCTTCTAGAGATACCACTTACAAAAATACTAAACCAAAAGAAGCTAATTTAAATACACTATATTATTCATGACGCTAATAAAAATTGATACTGACATTCTCATCTCCCTATTATCCTCTATGTCAGCTACTATCGTCACCATTAAAAAAGCAATTTATAACCACAGGCCCACCTTTAATCAGATTTCTTATTAGCATTTCCCAGTCTTTCCTCTAACACACTTCAGGCTACAGGTGGTGTTTGGAAGACTCTCTTGGCACCTTTCTAAATCATGACCACTGTCTCATCTTTGCTCTTTTCGTCTGTTACTATTACCCTTAATCTGATCCTCATGTGATTGCACCTACTAATATTGGTAATTGTGTCATGCATTGGAAAAATGCTTTTACACCCTTTGCTCTAATTAGAAAATATATTCCAGCTTCTGAATGGCTTTCCTATGCTTCTGCTGCAGGGGGTTCGGAAAGGCACGGGACAGGCCACCCAATTCTGCCTCTGGTTCAGTCACGTAGTCAAAAACCACGTAGAAAGCACTAAACTGCCCTGAACTTGGCTCATGAGTTAAATGTGGATAATATCATTTGTCTTGACTATCCTGTGAGCTTTTATGGATCCAATTAGACACAGTGCATATTATTTCAACAATTCACTCAATAGGCACATATTGCAGGGCCACTTGATAGCAAATTCAATGCTAAATGCTATAAAAGGCTATGTAATACTATAAATATGTGATAGCATTATAGTTAATGGAATGTACTTATTAAAGAACAAACTCTTTTTATTTATTTTCATTCTTGTCAAAAGCCTCCTTAGTACATTTTAAGACACTTTCTTACCCTAGTAAATATAGTACAATAAACAAAACAATCTCTCTGGAACGATTGTCATCGTATGCCTCAAAGTTTCACTCCCTGTATATTCCCTTTGTTTCAAATTATGTCTTCATTTCAGAAAAAATACTATGAGGCTTATGAGTAAATATTCAGAGTGGCATTTCTCAGAAAAGAATCAGAACAAGAAAATATGCTTTATTTATTTTACCTTTTTTCCCCTGTGATCAAATACTATCACAAGGCTATTAACCAATGAGTTACAGGAGTCTAAGGCACTGATATTTCTAGAAATCAGACATTTTCTAACACTGACAAAATGCTACCACTGCAAGTTGCACATGAAAATTTACTTCACTGTGGTGTTCAGGTTTGCAGAGCTCACTCAGAGAGATAATTTTTTTTCACCCATCTAGCTTTTATTTTTTGTAACATAAATCTTTTTACGTAGCAGAATCTGCCACTCTTGATTGAGGAATGAATATTTCCTTCAATGTCTGTTCACTCAACCCTTCTTCTATAGAGCATAGTACTAGGTATTGCAGTGGAGATGAAATGAAAGGTATCCATGTAATAAACCCGAGGAATTATATAATAACATCATTGTGGGTGCTATAAGCATTCCGAGGGAGAGATCACTTCCAACTTGAGGATCAAATATAATCCCGGAGCTTGACTACTCAGAGTATCAGCTGGTCGGCATTCTGTGGGAGCTTATTAAAAATGAAGATTTTGGGGCCGCACCAGAGCTATTGAACCTGCATGTTAACAAGATCTGTTGGCTATTAACATGTGTATAAAAGTGTGAGAAGTGCTAGTTTTTTAGTTCTTACTTGGAAAAGCTAATCTTCAATGGTGTTTCTTTGGAATTTTCTTGATCTTTGAGTTCTTGTTAATGATTGTTGGCATTTCTATTTGATGAAGAGTAGCAGGATCCCAAACAAACAATTTTGACGGTGGTGTAGCAAAGAGCACAAGCCTTGGTCTTTTTCAAGTCTTTGATTGGACCTCTTGGAAGTGTTTGAAATCAACTAAATCTTTCTTAAATACTTTTCAAAGGTCATTAGAAAGAGAGTTTATATAAGGACACTTTTTAACACCATTTTATATGCATCCATAGATGACTCTCTAGCCATCTCAAGTGTATTCTCAGAAAAGTTATTATCTCAAACAAAATCCAAAATCTGTCAACTTCCACATGTCACATGACTGTCTTGCTACTTTGATACACTGGTAACCAATATATGGAGGTTTCTTTCAACCTGCTGAGCACTTCACAGTTGTTGTTTTGATTGGTAGCTTCTCATCCTAA